ACAGAATGTGATATGAAATTCAGATGTGCCCTATGAACCAAGAGCACTCGTGGTCATGTGGCTCCGCAAAAGTCTGCAGTCACATCCCCCTTCAGGTTACGGTCAGGCAAACTTACGAATTACTTCTACTCGTCTCTTCAAACGAACTAAAGATTAATCAAAACATAAATAAGGGTGTATTTTTCCTATGCAATAATTGGAAAAATGTCAATTTTTCTCACCAACAAGCAGAAATGCGGAGTTTTTGCAGATCGCCAAAGCAGTGATCGCACAATGACCATTCTCGAACTGATGAGATGGTACCATTTCGGGCAGATGCCAGGCCTTGATAGTGCAGTCGGTTGAACCTGAATAAAGTCCGAATAAGGCAACTTAGATTTGGAAACAATGCTGTAGTGTATACTAGTTTTCGAATCCTCTAGGCTAAAACATATCTCGTGAAAGACGCACCCATACAATAATGTATTATTCGAATTAAGTATTGTTTTCGTGACTAGGAGTAAATCAGTAGTATGAAATGTATTCACCCAATTTCGTTTAAGGTTGGGGTGGAATCCCATTTTTGCACTGTCGCGGTTCGACACCCGTTGAGGGTGTTGATAAGACCGATTCGAGGTCGAAACTGCAGTCCACTCGTTCCTGGATGAGAACAAATTTTGGGAAAGCAAGGCTATGTGAAAATTTAATGGAAACGTCAGCTCAGCTCATATGATTGTGGGAAAATTCTTCTTCTTCCTTCCTCACCTTAAACGAAATTGGGTGAATAAATCTCATATTGATAATGTATTACTTCAACTGGCTATCAGTAGTAGGTTTCAATATAATCAGTAGATTTTGAAATTACAACCGTAGACATTCCAAGTCGCTTGGGGTAACGAAGCGAGGTCGAAGCTACAGTCTAGTCTGGGCGGGAAAACATTTTTAGAGGTAAGGATAAGTGAAACACATTCCTATAGCGAAGCCTGTTCATATCATTGCGGGAAATTCAGCTATCAGCCCTTATTTACTTCGAGAAAAATTTATTCTAAAATTGCGCTATCTATTCACTGTCTGTTGACCCTTCTCATCCATCAGAATATGAAGCAACATACGAATTTCTGTGAATTATTGCTTCTACAGCAGCTGGCTTGGAGTTGAAACCTTAAATTGCCATCAAAATTTGTTAGTTTATAATCAGTTTGAATAAATTTTAAAATCATATTCAGCATGAGCATGTGTTCACAATATCAGCAATTCTAGAATAATAAATTATTTATCATAGGTCTTCAAAATAACTTTAACCGAAATAGGCTAAATTCTTTTTAATTTCGAAACATATTTATACTGAATATAAATAACGTCCTCGATTGTGATGACTAATACTTGTTCGGTCCATCGGTAATCCTAGTATAGGGCCACAATTTGTACTTACATCACACTTTACTCCTCTTCACTGCTCAGCATAGCCACGAAAAATTCGTTTTATTACACTTTGTTCAAGCTAGATTTCCATGAAGCCTGACAGAGTCATTTAAAAGCGGAGACCGAAACTCACGGCAAAGTTCCACGGAGCAATAAATCAAATCACACTTAAACCCACATAACACACGATCGGTAACTATAATACGACGCCTATATAAGGTCTAATAAATGCTATGTCTTTATTGTAAAAAAGAAGTCCTATTTATGAAAGGTGATTATGAGTATCCGTGAGGTGTCCGTTTCACCCTGGCTAGCCTGGCCCAGTGACAATTCATTGTGGATGGAGCAAGTTTCATTGCTCTACCCACAGTGGAACTTCACAGCTGACATGTTGAAATGCCAAATGAACAAGGATAAAAGCCCTTGGTACCGGAATAGGCGATGGAATACCATCAAGCCGGTCCACTTGCCAGTGATTAGCAGCGATTGATGTCTGTTCATCACCATTGCCGTTATCCGGTCCTTATGGCATGTGTAATGGCTCATGGGGCCAACATCACAGACGACGCCCTGTCGCGAGGCGTTGCCAGTCAGGCTGAGTAAAGTCTGCCTCAATCCGATCTGTTCCGCAAGCCACATGAGGCCGATATTCCTCTCCAACGGAAACAGCAGGTCTGACGCAAATAGGCCACAGCAAAGCTTGGCCACCCTCGAGTCTTGGGAGCTGGTGAAGACGCACCGATGAAGACTGGACAGCAAGATCTTTGTGATAGAGCCTGAATGCGGCCTGAAAGTGGGCATAAATAAAGCCGACGGTAGCTTCCTGTACAGAATGGCAAGCAATATAAAGACATCACAGTTCACTTCACAAGACTCGTTGCCGTCAGTGGTGGGCTCAACGAAACGCCAGACGGAATGACCGATTGAAAAAGCTATAAAGATGTTTCGGAATCAGTTTACAGTTAATACACCCAATAACATGCATCAAAGTGGAATTCTAAGAAGATGCGATTGAACGATTAGGATTGTACCAAACGTTGGATAACAAAGAGAAAAGATATGACACAATTAAAGAGTGCCAGTCGCCGATTTCCCACATACCCTCCTCTACAGCATGGAAGAACCTTGCCTGAGTCCTATCAGTAAAGCGAGGAGTGAAACCGAGAAAAAGTATATATGAGTAGTCTCGAAAACCAACTCACTTATGAGAAAAAAATATATAATCTGTAGTCCCTTGTCAAGAGGGTTTTGGCAAAAGAGATCTTCTTCGTTGGCGTAGCCATGGAAGCTCCTGGCCCTCGAGAGACAGAAATTAAGCAAACACAGAATGGACTTTTTTTCCTACTTGCGACGGCAACTGTTCCTGCCTTTCCAATATGAACTTTTTTGCATGGAGCTTGCAGCGAAAGTCAAGTTTTCTTTGTGTCTAAACGGCTACAGGGTTATGTTGCCAAGAGAATACTGCATTCAACCCTTAAAATGCACACCATCGACAGTTTTTGGTGAAATTAGAAAACAGTGACTTTCACGACAACGACAGCCAGTCTCTTTAACTTATCTTAGATTTAGTGGCAAACGGTTTTCTACGAAATTCCGACACTTTCTTTGAGTATGCCCACTTTTGTGGAGAAGTAAATTAGGCTGCCCTAAAATTGTGCGCCAAGGCCAGTCACTCGATTCACCAAAGAATGACCGAATATGTAGAGTGTGTGGAGGCTGTTTGTTGCACAGGTCGGAAGTGGTATAACTTGGCTGCGGGATAGATGGGCTGAATATTGTTGAAAATTTGGAGTCATGGAAGGAGTCGAAAGAACCAGAATGGGGAATACGTTAAGTGTAGGAAGTGAAGGAGTGAGAGGATGTTGAGTCACT